CCCCCCCCCCCAGCAAAATGACCTAGGTAAGTATGCCTGTTACTGAAAGACAGCACCGTTAATGAGTGGTGACTTGAAAAATACTTGGCTTTTACCTCATCATTTTTGGATGAGCAAGCTCTAGCCTAAAAATCACCAAAAATTAGCGACTGTTATTTGGCTTAAAAATAAGTTCATTATGATATTTTGAGGTCCTAAGTTCGGAGGCATAAAAGGAATTTACATTTATTGACAAAATTCGCGTTTACGTCTCTGCCCAATACTGAACTGTGAAAAGAAGCTGATGAAATTCAGGAAAGCAAGTGTGCTAAAGAAGAATTCATTTTCTGCAGTTTATTGGAGGCATGTTAAGGTATTGTTGGATACACAGCCGGCTACTAGTATTGATCACCAACTACTTCAGGACAACAGTTCTGGACAGGACAGGGAATAGTGCATGGACTGTGATGCCTTCACATCTTAGAATACACCCCTCTGTGGTTAAGTTTGTGATTTTAAAATACTTTAAACTACAGTTGCGATCTGGGCGAATAATTGAACGTTACAAGTGGTTGTGGTTAGAGTGGTTTGCAAATGCTGGGCTAACTTCTGGCCATAATCACAGTTTGCAAACGATATTAATAGCTATGCTCTGAACGGTTCGCCTGAAACTTAATGGCTTGAGACTTGCTGTATTTTAAATACAACAGGGAGTACATAATGTGATAAGACTCGTTCCGTTTTCTTGTTGCCCTAGCCTGTCAACTGAAACGCAAGGTACCAAATAAGTATGAGAAGAGATAATTCTGTCCAAAACTTACGTCGTCGTGATTCATGGTGTAGAAATTATTCTTCAGGAGCACTCAAGATATATCTGTCACTTTTATAAAAAAATAAAACACACTTTAAAAGAATTTCATGCTTTAATGACACGACCACGTTGTTTTGATCTTTGATCGCAAATGAAGGATTGAGGTTGAGGTTATGTTTACACATAACCTCACTGATTTTTCTTTCTGCCAATCAGACGCTGAATTTAAGGGCGGGTAATTTGAATCCGCCCATTTAAGTAATGCGGGCAGTTTCATGATTTACTCTCTTATTCAGTAGATCATTTGAAGAGGTCTGGACCATCAGTATAATTGAGTATGATGAGCAAACGTATGGGAGTCAAAAAAATTGCCAAACTATCCGGGACAGGGCCGGGTTTGCCATTAGGCTACATGGGTCCACGGCAAAGACAATGGGTAATGTTACCTGGAGGAACACAATCTTTAAAACCTCATTCCAAGTAATTCCAAGCCGCTAGCTTGGGCAGAAAAAGGGGGCGCCCCCCCTCCCCTCAATTCTACTCGGCCTCATTTATCTAGTTCATTTCTGTAGTATTTTGTAGTTTTGCTCATTTGTTTAGTTCCTCATTAAAATGGTTCATTCATTATTTCATAATTGGATTAATTTTATTCAGTTTCTTCAAAGCTGCCATTTATTTTGTTTTGTCTTTCTTTCATTTTCATTTTAGCGAAACACATGTTTTCATGAGAATTAACTTGAGATGAATTATATTAAAATCCACGATAAGATATGATATTTTTAAAAGCAAGTCAGCAAAATTTCAGAGATTTGAAATATGTAATTTCATTTAATTTGTCATTGAGAGTGGCTTAAAATTTCTCTAGAGACATTCCAATTTTCAAAAATCCCCCTCCTAGGGGAGTCCCTCAGACCCCCCTTAGCCCAAGTTCTACATCCTCCTGTGACCCCCTCCCCACAGACAATTTATAGTTGCGCCCATGTGACGGCTGCCTGTATTTTTAACATTTTATTTTTCGCGTCTTTTAACTTTTTATTTTCCAAATTCAGTTTTTCTGGTGTCAATATTTTCGCAACTGTTGCCTCAAAATTGTATAAAAGCAGGGTTTTTTCAGTGATGGATTTTCAATTATTTTCCTTGGTATCGCACCAATGTAGCATTCTTCCTCCTTTCCGGGAAGGAGGGGGTAGGGGAGGTCTGGGGTCCCTCCCCTTGGAGCGCCTTCTTTTGAGGCACCAACCGAAATTCAGCCTCATGTGCTAGGACTTACAGATGATTCATCTAAAAATAAAACAGTGGAACAACAAAGATGAAAAAAACGGGAAACAAGGCTAAAAATACACAATTATGAAACCCGAGACGTTTCGACTCAACACTGAGTCATTTTCAGTCGGAAACAATAAAAAATTTTTAAAAGAAAAACGCTAAAACCTGAGCTCTACATGGTGGGGCCGGGATCTGAGAGAAAAAAAAAAAAAAGAAAATTGATAACAAACAAGACACATCGATGCCAGCACCAGTAACCGAAAATGACCGATACGCTAGTTCACGATCCACACACAGATGGCAGCACTAACCAGTGAAACAATTAAGTTCAAGGAAAAGCCAATAGGTGCCGCTGGGGCGTCAACCTAAACCTGACTTTTTAAAAAGTGAGTGGTATATTGCACTAAGCCCGCTGATGTCAGTGCGGTTATTACACACAGAATCCCCATGTATCCAGAATCCACATGGGGATTCTGTGTGTAATAACCGCACTGACATCAGCGGGCTTAGTGCAATATACCACTCACTTTTTAAAAAGTCAGGTTTAGGTTGACGCCCCAGCGGCACCTATTGGCTTTTCCTTGAACTTAATTGTTTCACTGGTTAGTGCTGCCATCTGTGTGTGGATCGTGAACTAGCGTATCGGTCATTTTCGGTTACTGGTGCTGGCATCGATGTGTCTTGTTTGTCATCAATTTTCTTTTTTTTTTTTTTTCTCTCAGATCCCGGCCCCACCATGTAGAGCTCAGGTTTTAGCGTTTTTCTTTTAAAAATTTTTTATTGTTTCCGACTGAAAATGACTCAGTGTTGAGTCGAAACGTCTCGGGTTTCATAATTGTGTATTTTTAGCCTTGTTTCCCGTTTTTTTCATCTTTGTTGTTCCACTGTTATCATCGTCTCGGGCTGCTCCTAAAAATTTGTATCTAAAAATAAAACATTCAACTGCATATTCTCATGCATGACTCTAATTACATTGAGTCTCATACCGTATGGGCTTGTTCAAGAATAATTTTGTTTCTACTGAGTGTATACCCTGCTCAGTGGAGTGCTCTACACCATGGTACAGTCTTGTAGATAAATTCTAAGTAATCTTGTGCGATGGACCCTGTACAGAAAACTGAGAGATTCGATTCCTTGTGATCTCCTGAACAAAATGAATCTTAAAAATTGAACTTAATATGTGCTGATTAAGAGAAAAGTTGGGCTAAAAAGGGTTCCCCCCCCCCCCCACAAATTGTTACATATCCTATGTTACGAAGATGCGGCACTGCTACTTACAATAAGTCTGATATGCAAAGCCTTTTTGCTTTGAAGTAGTTTTTGCGATGGGCTCTAGGCGTCGCAGCTTGGACAGACAGGCTCTCTTGGAGCTTCAACATTTTAACCAGATAATACCTGCATGTAAAAATTCTGAAAAATTCACCTTCCGACCTCCATTTTTTTTCAATATTGGCACATCAAAAGGTTTCGTTCCGTCAAAGGCTCATATCATTCTTGAGAATTTGCGAAGAACATAATATCAGATAAAAAACGAATTTAGCTAGAGCCAAATTTCTTCAGTTTCTGTGCAGGATTCTTCCTTGCTTTGTCAAAATTCTTCTCTTCATAACAAATCAAATCTTAAGAGTCTGTTACAATTAGTGATTTTAAAATAAAAAAGAAGGTAAAGACATAAAAAAAATTTAATATTTCTAAAAATATGAGAATGACAGAAAAATTAAAAAAATAAAGAGCTCTTTGCAGCGATATCTAATTCAGAAAATCTTAGGAGAAAGATTTATTAAATAGATAATTAGGATACGAGTTTCAGTGAAAATAAATTACTACTAAGGAATCTATCACAGTGTAAATGGCACTATAAATGAATACAAAGAAAACACATCAAAAATAGTACGTAAGTACAGACATTTGCTTCATCGTATGTTTGCTCCTGTTGTCTTTGATTTAAGTATTTGGATATTGAAGTCTTAATGTAAAAATTAGGCACAGAAAAATCACAGGCAAAATAATGGACAACCCAACAGAGGAATTCCAAAATATCTCAATTTGAGAGGATTTTCTGAACTCAAATAAGACGAGGAAAGAAAAATATGTGATGAAAAGGGAGAAAGAAGAGGCACAAGTTGACTACTTCTGGAAGACATAATTATGAAAGTATTATTGATAGAGAAAGTTTTTTACATCCTCATTTAGGTAAATGTGCACTGGGCAATGTCTCACCACGTTAGAGTCGATCACACATTTACTACCAATACAGTGATTAGTGATGAGCTCATTTGACACTGTTCTCTGAATTTTCTTAAAAGGGCATCATAGACCAAAATGATTCCGATAGGTAAATTTAGGCACACTGGAAAATGAAAACTACATAATTGATTTTGGCAGCTTGAAGATTCTACAGGAGATGTAGAAAATCTCATTATTATCATGATAACTAGATTCCCTGAAATTAGGTTAAAGCTGAATTCATTTTGCAATTACACTCGATGTAGATACAGTTTGTAGAGACTAGATAAAAGTTTTGGGTGTACTTATTTTAAGATCACTTTAAAATCAACATAAAATGTATGATATAATAAAGAAATTGAACTTTGGCAACAGATCTTTGAAATTGTGACTTAAATTCAAAAAGAGAAAAAAAAATTTACAGGACTATGGACTGTAATTTTAAGATTTTTTCCTGTTTAGAGTAACTAGATAAAAATATGGACTAAAATACGATTATTTCATTGGAGTTAGACTTTGGCACGCATTTTTAGAAGTTAGTAAGTACGATCAAAGATGACAAAAATCTGACAAACCTGTGGTTCAACAAAATATTTCCATAATAACGTAATGTTAATAATAAATCAACGAAAAAGGGTGAGTTTAGAAACGCACAAAAAATTTTCTACGAAATAAATATAACATAAAAGTCTGAATGAACTTTGATAAATAAATATTTTCAGGCAACACTGGAGAGGACGAATTCAACTTCATTGGGATGACTATTTCAAGGCGTATACAACTACACTTCTTGATGGTAAATAGACCTATGGGGGAAAAAAGCAGAGAAAAAAATTAGAGTTAATTTCATGAAGAATTTTAAAGAATCAGGCAACTTAATCTTGAATGTAGATTGAATGAATTGAATTTCAAAATTTAAAGAGACTTCCAAGGGAGTTAATAACCTGTATCCAATGAATCATTGCGCTAAGTACAGTGGTACGATGGTACACCACCAGTAGTACAATTGATGAAGTAAAAATGCTGTCAAGCAGTGACATAATAAGATAATGTATTTTGAACTAATTACAGCTCATGGCATTACACAGCTGAAAACAATGAGTAAAATCAAGCAAATATATTTCAACACGGCCACCTGGCCCTTTGTAGTTGCATTTTTTGATACCTAATTGTGATGATTATGATAAACTACATTGTGACTTCATTTTGGAGACGGAGTTTTCTTCTGCCCTTTCTGATCCAGCCCCTACCAGATGCTGTTCCTCTAGCTTTGTTCTCAAAGTTTCCAAAATGTGTACTGAGTATTTGTCTCTTTGTATTTCTCTCTTATACCATACCACAGTTTTTACGGAAAATGTTTCGTCTGGTACACATTTGGACTACACTTGGTAATTCAGGACTACGATTTCTGGCTCATCTGTAAAATCCCCAATGTGCATAGGGAAACTGTCGGCACATACGTTGCTTCTAAACTGAGCCAGAAATCGTTGTTCCTGATAGCAAAATGTAGTCCATTTTTCCTGCTTTCACTTTCTGGTAGGTATTTTTATGTTTCCAGTACCAATTAAGACTTCTTACCATCATGTTGCTGTCAAACTACATATGAAGATTTCAATGCTCCATTGTCCTCTTGGTGACACTATTTTTTTTTTTTATGTTTTGGGCAGTATCTGCTTTGTAGATTTTTCATCCTGGAATCTCGATGAGAAAACTCTGCACTAGGAATGGACGATTATCGAATTCGAATGCGATTATTCGAATATTCGAAACTTTTATATTGCGATTATTTGAGAAATCGAATCTTGCAATTTTGAATACTTTGAAGCGAGTATTCGAATCTTTCTGATTAGTGCCCAGATTTTTTATTTTTTTGCAACAGTGCTCCACAAATGTAACAGTGCTCCACAAATGTAACAGGGTGGTGGAACAAAGCTCGCACAGGGCTCCATTTTTCACACTTTTGGAAAAGTATTTCCCCACAATGGACTTTTTTTGAACCGTACTGGTGGTAACTAGGACTCCAGAGCATGTAGGTCTGTACTGAACGGTCTGTAGGTCTTGAGGGGAGTTTTTTAACCTTGTAATTTCGAACTATAGGAGGGAAAGTTATAAAAAATCGCAGTTTTACCTTTTCGAATATTAATCAAATAAAAATTGAATATTCGAATACTTTCACCAACATTCGATTGTGATATGATTATCTCAGTGATGATATTTCGAAAATCGAATATTCGATTCTTGAAATATTCGACCATCCCTACTCTGCACTGTAATGATTATGTTGTCACACACTCTTCTTAGAGTAACAGAATGCACAGTTTGAAATTTCTTGTACTTACTTGCAGCCAATTCAGGCGATGAGCCCAATGCTCAGGGTGAGTCAAGTGAGTGACATTAGGGTCAATGCGATTGTGGCCACCAAATTCAGGAGCATCTGAATTCAACACAACTTTGAATTCGCCAGCCAGGTCAACACCGAGTTTGTAATCCGTAAAACTCTTAGTTGGATGAAAATTAAATGCAAACAGTAAGTTGGCTCTTTCAAAGGCGATTACTTTATCATCTTCATGTTTCCAACTGACATATGCCTGAAAATGATGAAAAAAAAACCAATACTGAAACCTGGGCAATCAAAATTGAAAACTTTCCTTACTATTACTAATCGCCAAAAAAATCAGGATAATGACGAATATTAATGGGAAAAATTGAGAGCAGAAAAGCTGCAAAGATCAAAAGGAACTTGCGTAAGTTCTTCTAAACTTGGAGCTAAAAAAAGTGAGTTTAGATTTTACAAATTTGTTAATGAAAATAAAGAGAGAAAAAAACCCCCATAGACACCTTTTAGACTGACTTAGAAGATTTTAAAAAGAGGAGTGATGAGCTCTACCTGGCATTTGGCTGTCACACTGCATGCCCATGAGAGGCTACGTATTGTTATTGCATGTCTATCTCTTTGTCATTCATGAAACTTTCAAAACTGTCTTTTCAAAAAATAATGAATACCGAACATGATAATGAACTAAAAACATACAGGATTCGATTGGAGCCAACCATACTTTTCTTCAAGGTGGTTCATGGCTGCATCAAAATTGGCGAGGTACTTGTATTTCAGTAGTTCATCATCCACTAGATTCCACTGCCTGCGAGCATAGTGATACGACTCTCCATTACCAATGCGAGGAAAATCTAGCCATTCTGGATGTCCAAACTCATTACCTGTTAGGGCAAAAAAAGAGGGTGAATCTGAGTTGGCTGATTAATTGAATTATTTACCTATCATTGAAATATGTATATGTATCTTGTTAAAATTCATTGGCCTTACATTCCATCTCAACCTGGTGACTATTGAATTATTTAGAAGAGTTGAATTTTTACTAGGTATACAGATAATTTACTTAACCATATTTGCAGAATAAACAGCAACACAGCAACAACAATAACAATACAACATTAACAATATTTGAGGAATATAGAAGAATTAAGCTCTATGCTTTGCCGATGACCAGATCGTAGTAGCTCAAGATGAAGAAGATGCAGATTACATGACGCGGAAGTTGGTTGAAGAATATCGGAAATGGGGCATGGATGTTAGTGTGTCCAAGACAGAGAAGCTGGTCGTGGGAGCAGCGCATCAACGGCAAAGCATAGAGCTTGAGGATGGACGGCGCATCGAAGAGTGTGACGAGTATAAGTATCTCGGTGTCTGGCTAGATCAGGATGGAAGGATGGATAGAGCAATGAAGAACAGGATCATCCAGGGCAGGAGAGCCATCGCGATGCTGAACAGGGTGCTCTGGGATCAGAGCATTTCAAAAGCAAACAAGCACCAGATATATGACGCCATCGTTAAAAGTATCGTGCTCTATGGTAGTGAAGTATGGCCTTTGACGAAGAGAACGCAAGAAATGTTGAGGGCAACTGAAATGGATTTTTGGCGGCGATCTGCCGGCATTTTGAGACGGGACCGTGTTCGTAATGAGAGAATTCGCCAGGTGATGAAGGTTGAGAAAGATATCGTCCACGACGTCATGTCCAGGCAGTTATGCTGGTATGGACATGTGCAAAGAATGTCGGAGGAGAGGTTGCCCAAACAAGTTTTGGATTGGGTACCACCTGGGAAGAGACAACGTGGACGTCCCGTAAAGGGTTGGCGGCAGGGCGTTGACGAAGAGATGTTGCGGTGTTAGTTGCCCGATAACCTCTGGGAAAATAGGCATATGTGGCGTTTGGGGGTCGTAGAACGCCAGAGTGCGTTGTAAAGCGACTTTATATATATATAAGATGAATGAAGGAGAATGTAGGAGAATGATGGTGGGCATGATTACAAAATCTCACTTGTAAAAGTTTTTATTCCAAGTGCCTTTACATGTGGTCTCAACAATTCACGCTTCAGCAAGCAGAACTGTGAGCATGAGATTCTGGTGAATGGCGCAACCCTGGGCTAAAAATATCCAAGCTTTCCTTCATTGTTGGCAAAAATGCATAAATAGTAACTCCAAAAAAATTCAAACAAATTGAAAAAATCCCTCCCTCTCCAAAAAAAAAAAAAAAACGAACAAACAAAATTGGCCTTCTTTATAACATGGTGAAAACAAAAATGCATATATAAAAAAAACTGAAAACCCTGTCCTCCATTCCTGTTCTCACAAGGGTTCCTCCATTTCGTGTGTGATAAGCGACCACAATACAAAGTTTCTGCACCCCTGGCTCAACCTCTTCCTATTTCAAATGCCAGGGGTAATATTTGCTTGCTTTTTACATCAACCAAACCACGTTTGGGTCAGGTCAATGTCCAAAACCACGTATTTCCGTTGCGTTTGTGGTCAAACCACTTTTATCCTTGATAGTTAAACCAATCAAACTAAAATGTCCGCCTAACAGCAGCTGCAGCAGTCAGACTCTTTATTCTTGGTCCAAGGATGAAAGGGAGTTATAGTATTGCAAATACTTCATTTTACTGTATTCTTGATTACAATGTTCTTGGTTTTGATTATGTGATTACCATATTGCTAACTATTAAAAAACAAACCTATGAAGTTAAGGTATGCTTCTCCTCCAAGGGCATGGGTAATCAGTCGAATCATTTTATGTAAGGCAATTCCTCGATCGATAATTAAAGATGGCTCGGAGATCGTTGACATATGAGTGTACATTTCTTTATCCATCAACCAAAATGCAATAGTTTTATCACCTACTAAAGCCTGAAATATAAAAACCATGAGCATAAAATGTGACAGACAGACATTGTTAGGAGTTTGCTGCAAAAACAAAGGTACAGTCAAGTGAGTTGGTGCTACATCTTCAGGAGCAAAAATGCATTTTACAGAAATTATTATTTTGAAAACATTAAAACAGTGAATTTATTGAATATTTTCTATTTTCATAAAATAATAATAAGAAAATTTCTATAGGTTTAGTCTGGGCAAATCCTTTCATAATTCGCCCCTGAAGTACATCTTCCATAGCAAATAATATTCCTATTCTAGACAGCCTAGACCGATCTTCTATCACAACATTAGGAAAACTTCTAAATGCCTCTAAAATGGTGAGATTTGCCTCTAAAGAAGCAATGTTAGTAAGAATAACTTTTTTATTTCTTTTTTCTTAATTTTTAGTTTGATTCAGTTACAAACTATAATTTTTAGAACTTGTTTGTGGATTAACCAGTATTTACATTGTAAAATAATGCTGCGAAAAAAATTCACAACCGTACAAGGAATATTTCATGACAAGTTGGAAGTTTTAATCAGAAATACATCATACTTGGTCATGTGATTCTGCATATGCCACCGTGTTTTCCATCCAGCGTCTGTTGGTTAAGGTATGAACAATATTTCCGATATCCCAAGAGTCATCTGGTACTTCCTTCAATAATTTGATCCACTTATCAGGGATTGCCATTCCTAAACGGAAATCAAACCCGATACCTCCTTCATCGGATGGTCGACATAATGTTGGCATACCAGATACATCCTTTGGGTGGACAAAAAAATAAAATATAGTAATATAATTATGAAGCAATGGTTGACTGATGACAAGTTATTTTTCAACTGAATGTATCAAAAATCTGGAAGGTTTGGTTGCTCCCAGGAATCTTTGTTGGTGAGCAACAAACACTACACCCTCTGTAAATAATACTGATAAACTGTCATGAAACTGTTGTCAGAAACAGCAGCTGTTCTCTCTGTCTGAACTTCTTAAAGTTTCAGTCTGCGCAATACTGTCCCCTATATCTGTCTTTTGAGAGGCACGCAGACCGAACTTTTTCAATGGCTTAATAGAAATGGACAGGATACAATAAGATGAATCACAGAAAAATTTTTCAGAGTGGCAAAGTTTAGCTGAGCTAATAAAGGTTCATGGCAAAATACCCGGTGCATTAAAAGTATTCTAAAGTTATAATTCTGTAAATGCAGTCCTGGATAATCTTGCAGAATGTTTACACAAGTAAACATAATTTTCAAATTTTTTAATGAGTACATCTTTCTGCAGCAAAAAAGGACCAAATTACTTGTAGAAAACCATTATATTTACACATCCACTCAATCCATGATTATTGTCCCAACACCAAGATTTAGAATAAGAAAAATACAATTATTTTTCATACCTCAGCAATTGTAGTTGCATTGGGATACAACTCATGTATTATGTGATTGGCTAATTTTAAATAGACGAGCGCCTCTGTGTCAACACTCAGACCAAAATACTCATCATAGTGACCGCTAAATCCATGACCAACACCTCTGGAGTGATAGATCATAGAAGTTACACCATCAAACCTTTGAGAAAGAGGAAAAAAGGATAATTATGGCAAGCATTGATGACTTTAAATAGGCAGCATTTATTAAACAAGAACCAACTGCATTGTACATTGCTGAACGAAGAACTGTGATGTTGCTGAGATGGCTTAACTTCTTCCTAGTCTCAAAAAAGTTTGCGAAGGCCTACCCGCAGAATACATAGAAATTTAGCACCACTTAATTTCGATATTATTTGATATGACCTCCTGCGCATGATATGCTTTTAATGTAACTTCCTATGTGTCCATGTTGAAAAAACCAGTTAATAATTACATTCTTGGGCCTTCTTTCATGCGTTTTCTAATGGAGATGTGGGGTTGTTGCTACGTTTATGTGGACATTAGATTGTAGACATTGTCTGTGTGGATTTGATTCTTTTCGTCTCCCTTATCTTCTTGGCTTACAAGAAAACAAAAGCTCTCCTTGATCACCGATAAGACGATGCGACATTATTCATGTGTATTGCATGTAAAAATTCCAAAATACTTACTTCTTAGCCTCACAGTTTTTGAGATTGGCACATGGAAAATTCGATTATAGAGGCTTTTTGAGCACAAGAGGCCATAAATAACATCATGATAAATAATATAAAAAATTAGCCGGCACCAAATTTCTCAATATGGGGCCATTCAAGTATTACGTAAGGCACTTAAGGGGGGGGGGAGGCGGTCCGAGCTTGTCTCACAGAGCCTTACAAAGGGGGGAGGGTGGATCAAGGCCGAGTCTCACGTAAGCTTTCTGCTGTAAATAAAGGCTATTTGTTAAATAATAATAATAATAAAAAAAACTTTAACCGCGTTGTGAGCTGTGAAACCCTAATTTTCTTGAAAAAACACCCTTAGAAGTCCCCGAAAGTCCCCAATTTTGTTTGCTATGACTGGTAAACACCCTGACAATTAAATTTCAATTGTTTGCTTCTTTCTTTGCTGATTTTCTTCAAAGTACCTTTACAAAAGCTTTAAATTTATTCCAGCTATTTTACCAGGCTTTCTCCATTTTTTTCTGGAAAAATGGGGGGTGGGGTCCTGGCCAATCTTATGTAATTCAAAAGGGGGGGGGGTGTCAGAGATTTCTTACGGGTGCCTTACAGGGGGGAGGGGGGAGGTCAAAAAGTTGGCAAAAATACCTTTAGTAATACTTGAACAGTGACCCCTATTCTGTGGATAGTCCTTTGGCTAATTGCTGTTCTTACTTGAAATTACCCTTGAAAACAAAAAATATTTTGTGAATTCTATTCTTGGGTAAACAGTCAGTTATTTCTACAGTAAGGATAAAGTTGACCGAATTTTGCCTGTTTCAAATGTGCTTAGCTCCTTATTTACAGCAAATGAGAGTTTTGTTATTCTTCGTAATAATGATAGGCATGGTGATAGCCCAGAAAGCATGAGGATCACACATACATTAAATTTCCGATATAAAAATGAAAAACTCAATTACTATCAGGTTGTTTTCAGCTTTACAAGATGATGGGGCAGAAAGTATTTCAGTGAAGTAACAACTCATCCTTTGCATCATTTGGCATATAATAATCATCGATATTTAGTGCCTCTTGATTGATGGCACAAACATAGAGGTAAGGTTGGGACAGTGAAAGAAAATATTTAGAATACCTGAATCCATCAAAACGATACTCTTCCATGTACCATCGCAAGTTAGACAGTAAGAATCGCAAAACTTCATGCCTGTAACAAAGTCAACATTCAGTACATATTACTCACAATTAAACTAATACTCAGTCAATCATAAAAAATAGAGGTTTATTCAATCGTCAAAGTGAAATTTTACAAAAAATGGAGGTGAGTTTTGAAATTCTTTTTAATCATAGCAGACATTGGAGAAAAACTCAAATACATCCTGAACTCAAATACATCCTGGTTACTTCTTTCTTTACTCAAAAGTACTCAGAATTGCTTCAAGAGGAAATTATTTCTGAGGAGACAGTTAATATTTTTTTTCAAGCGAAATTCCTTGATTGAAAGAGGGAAGAAAATGAGCATGTAAATTAAATCAGTGCCATTTTTTTGATGGTATAGAGAGTGTTAAAAAAACAATTATTAAAATAAGACTCACTCAGAATAGTTGAAAAGTCGACTATCCCACAAAGGATGTTCACCTCTTGGACCATCATGGAAGAAGCAGCTGTTAGTGCCATCAAATTGATTTAAACCATCAAGAACATTTTTGGAAGCATGGGAATGAACCACATCCAGGAGAACATACAGGTCATTTTTATGGGCAGCATCAATCAACATTTTCAATTCATCTGGTGTTCCAAATCGACTGTAAAATACAAATTTGATTGACATGCAGAGATTAATATCATTTGACATCAACCTCAATAAAAGTTACCAACTCGAAAAGAGTAAATAAGTAGATCTAATAGTCCCCCATGAAGTATCAGCTAATTGCTGATAAGCCACATAAATGTACTTAAATAGTGTAAAAGGGGAACCCGCGTTAATATTTTCAAAATGTCTTACAGAATGTCATACTGAAAATTCCTGTTCAGAAAGAAAATGATTATGCTGTAATTTATTTCATATTTTGCGGCGGTCTGATATTTAATTTTTAAAACAATAGCTTTTTTTGCCAAAAATAACAGCATTAGGAGAAAAAGATGCACTAAAAAAAAAAAAAAGTAAACAGGAAAAAAGAATGAAAATATTCTGTACACAATCGTTACCTTGAAGCAGCATAAAAACTAGTAACTTGATAACCAAAACTGGCATAGTAAGCGTGTTCCATGACTGCCATTAGCTGAATGGTATTGTATCCTGCAAGATTAAAATAGAGAATTCAAAAATACAAGGTAAAAATGATGATGACTTCATTCTATCAGTGAACGTGGAAGTACATTGGGAAAATTTTATGAAACTTTAGACTCCCTATAATTAAAAGATTCTGGTAAGTCACAATTGGGACTGGGTGTCTCACACTCAACCGTAAACTGCATGATTTCCTACACAATGGACAACACAATACAATAATGTGATAGGTGAAATTTCACTTATCATATTATACATATAAATGAGATTAATTTTTTTTAAAGCTAAATCTTCGTTTGAAATATTTATAAAATCTCTCTACTTTAGATTTTTCTAGCCCAACTCTTGTTACCCGAAAACCTCACTAATTCAAAACTCTTGTAAATTGGAATTTTTCTCCTGTCTCTTGAATTTTAATTAGGTAATGAAAGTTGAGTCTGTGCAACTTAAGAACAGAAATCTAGTGTCCACTTAAATTCATTGCTGTAAGAAGTGCAAAAAAATAATACAAAGTTTTACCGAGTTTCTTTATGCGAGGTATGACATTCTCAATGAATTCTTTATACGAGCCAACTTTTGGCTCTGCAGTTGCTATGCCCACATGACTTTCATAAATACGTAAGGAGGCTGGCCGTTTGATGTGCTTGTACTTCATTTGATATTTCTGAAAGTGGAGACAATGGAATAAAAATTAGATTCTTGGAGTAAAATTGTCCAAATTAGGAGGAGAAGGAAAAGCTAATTTATAAGTCCTGAAAAATATTTCAAACAACAATCTAGGGAAAAAATGAGAGCTGCAAAACTTCTCGACACCTTGAATGCCAAACTTTCTTTTGACACTGACTATATTATCTAAGATGGAATTGTCTACCATTTAACCTTCATCAACAATATTTTACAATCTGACCGATACTATTATGCTGCTATTGAAGTATAGAGAAGATACAGCTAGGATGTTCAGAAAAATCTGGGCTTATATAGCTAGGAGAAATCAAAGCCAAAAAAGTACACAATTTAAAAATAGAGCTCCAAAGCAAAACTCTGATAAGTAGTGGTATGAAAGTAAGAGAGGAGAGTATTTTAGCTTAGGTGGGTGCATTGAAAATGCTCTGCTGGACTAGGGGCACATCAGCGGCACTGTCATTGTTTTAGTCTCATGACAATACCTTACACGCATGAGAGGTGTTAGAAAAGTACTTAGAATGTGCCTGTCTAATCTGAACTCTCCTCCTCTATTCCGTACTGGCACAGGTGGTTTCATTTTCCAACTCCTATTTCAATTTTTATGATTTCCTGACTTTGAATTCACTTCATATACCGGAAATTTCTTGATATCCTGTCTTCAAATATCCAAGCCACCCAACTTTTTTTGAGAGCTGGCGTCCGTAAGAAAATTAAAGGACAAAAACATCTGGGTGAATACCTCATTGGCTGGAGGCTGCCAAATATACTGTCTGTAAGTTACTCCCTCGGTCTTTGGAGGCTGGACTACATAATTTGCCCAAGGAGATAGTCGATCAACTAATTCCCCACTTCCTGTTTCAATCACAATCTAAAAAAATCAAAAAAATCAGAGGAAATAAAATACATTAATTGACTTGGAACTGCTGAATTAAAAATAATAACTTAAGTTTAAAACACCTTTTTGAAAAATAAAATGTTCTTATAAGTTAAAATTTAGTTAGGATGTAGGCCTAAAAAAGTACAGACACTTGACAGATTTCAATAAGTCAGAAGAAAAAATGCGAGAACTAAAAAACCCTAAACTCAGGTGTAGGTAATTTTTTGGATAAATATATAAAGCCGCTGTTATAGCGCCCTCTTGCGCTCTGCGACACCTAGCCGCCAAAATCCCCTATCCTCCCAATCCTCCCAAAGCCCTTCAGGGAGTTGGCACACCCCTCCCCTTTGTTCTTTTCTCCCTCTAAAATTTTTTAAAAAGTGCTCTGTACCTATCTGCCACTGGTGACAAGTGGATTTTGTCCAAGTTTTCTTCTAAAATACAAATCAGAATTAAAATTTCAAAACGACTCCAGACAAAGGCAGAATTTCGTAGTCTCATCGTCGATATGTTTTCTAAAACAAGGAAATGTCAAACTAGGAACACTTTGAGGTCAACCTTAATTCTAGATCAACATTAATTGGTTGAGCTTCGTATTGACAAGAGAACTAAAAATCCGAGTCTCAAGGCCCATTATTCCAGCCCTCTGCGATAATTAAAATAAGCCACACCAAAAAATACTATCTCCTTCATAAATTAAAACTGTTCTGGTTGCGAGTACATCAAAGGTCGAAACGCACATAAAATAGGGACTTGACTGATTGGTAGGGGTTAAATGTTATCTTAAATTCAAATGTCTTCTCATACCAGGCACCAAGCAAATGATAATTATTAATAATTGATAGGACAAAACCTCTTTACCCACACTTCCTACAAATCAAGTTTTTTTTATCATACGATCAATCAAATGGTGCTGAAATAATCCAGACACAGCAAGATCATTCACACAAAATTATTGCTAACTAAGTAAGTTCAAGTTTAGGCTACAAAGATGGAGAAAAATATCTGATGGATTTTTCTTATGACCTCATATATTTAAAAAAATTAATGAAAAGTATGACTTACTTTTACTTCTTGCAGATGTTTTATCTGAGATGATCCATCAGGGTTTGGAGGTAAAATAAGTTCCCATTTACCAAATTCCAATTTTTTCAAAGGGTGCTTTCTTCTATCCCAATTGTCTGAAAAAAATGATGCAACAAAGAAAGAATTGAAAATTAATCTCATTCACAATTAATTGTACACTATAGGCCATTCATAAAATACACAAGTAACACTAACTTCCGGATTTTTCTACCTCCTCGATGGAGATGTTGCAGGTGTGAGGAATTTGCGTTTTGACTATTGATTCTTATGTAAAAGTTTGCGAGAAACATGATAGTGCCACTGGTTTTCCCTGAAATCAACTCCCAAGCTCAAAAAAGCTCTCAAAGTTGAGGGCGTAATTGAGGGGATATCCCACGCTATCCTGAGAGTTCACCTCTTTATCAAGACAAACTCTCCATGCAAAGATAGGGAGCAAATACATTAACAGGGATGCCACTTTATTTGGGGACTCTAAAACTTAAAACATGACAACCCTGCTATTGTATTTGCTACCTATCTTTGCATGAAGAGTTTGTCTTGATGTAGTGGTGGACTCTCAGGATAGCATAGGATATCCCCTACATTACAGCCTCAACTTGGAGAGCATTTTTTGAGCTTGGGAGTTGACTTCAAAGAAAATCAGTGGGACCAGTGTTTCTCGCAAACTTTTACATAAGAATCAATAGTCAAATCGCAAATTCCTCACACAAGCAACATCTCCATTATCATCTCCCCAACTGCACCCACCCTGTTAAGAAAAGTTTTAGACATTTTATTTGACTGAATTTTTCCTACATTGCTCATGGAAGTTTTTTGTCACCTTATCAGGCACTTGAAAGTATATTTTTGAAGGTGCCTTGCATCTGAAGTTTCCAAAAAACTTTCAAATGCATAAATTTCATTTACTATAGGCCTTACTTGAGTTGCTGACAAATTCTGGCACCAACCCTTTAATAATTTAATTATTGAAATTAGGGATACTCATCTCTCGATTTTCAATTGAATGTCTAACACTGAGGGAGAGCCATGTTAAAAAGAAGAGGAGATACTTAACATCTGTGAATAACTCTAATGCACATAATTTTAAACTTTGAAGGTCTGAATCTTGATTATGATGAAATTATTTGCTCCTCCTTCCTCATAAAGAGCACTGTTATAGAGCAATGAAAGAACAATACTTCAGTATTTATTCTTGAAAAAATAAAATTTTGGTTGAGAAATACTTACTGAACTGTCCTGTTAGGTAAACTTGTTTAGCTCCTGGAGCCCACTCTCGGTATGTAACTGAATTATCATTTAAAATATGGATTCCATAATACTCATAGGCTTTGGTAAACTTGTCGACACCACCCTCTGTTTTGTTTATCATTTCCATATAATCCAAAAAACAAGCATGTCTATGACACAAAGAGTTAATTCATATGTAAATTGAAATATAGAGATTATATAATACTAGAGCGATACCTACACATACAGGAGCCATAAAAGATCAGATTACATCCTCATCCTTTCAAACAGAGTGATTGATAATCAGTTCATGAATAAAGTAGCAAACACTCTAAGAATCTAATAATAACCCTACTTTGCGGTAAGTAGACTATGAGTACAGCACTCTTAAGAACTATTTAACAGAGGATAGATCAATCATTCATTTCTGGATTTTCGGTCATTTTGTGAAGAATCCCTGTGGGCTATAACAAACTACGATCTTGATCTGATTAAAAAGTACTTTGAAATAACCCTGAAAGTACAAATCAAGTGAAAATTACAAAGTGAAAGATGAGCCGACTTGCAATATTCACCCAAAACGAACTTCAGAGATTAATCTAAAAATTTTCATCAAATTCTGTACCAGAAGACCTGATGTCTGCTTGTATAATGTAAAATTCAGGGGTTCTTGAAAAAATATCTTGAAATCTAGAAATTCTTAGGTTGATTGATTGACTTTCGAATCATTCTTAAAAGTGTAGATCCTCCTGTAACGAATTCTTGACCAAATCAACTCAGCCTCTACAGTCAGATACTTACAGCAAGGACAAGAAGAAAGACAGGTAAAGGTAGATTACGTGTAAATACTGGATGTACACTTGAAGCGACAAATAAGAACTCAGTAGAGTACACTCAAGGATTTTATTCTAGAGCTAAAAATTCTCTGCCAGTACGAGGTGCAACTTTGGGCCATTCCAATCTTAAATCGAGTTAAGTGATTGCCGACTTACACCGTCGATATGTAAAAATCTCAGTTAGAGGTAAATCTTAGGGTCTAAGTGTACTGAAAAATTCTGTTCGGGAGGGACGAACCCACTTCAATTCGCATTCAACTTTGATTAGGGCACTCATGAGTGCATGAGGCAAATTGAAAGATACAATACTCTCCTAAGTTGAGATCCTATCAAAATCGTTCCGAGTTAAATAAGCATGTCACAACAGCGCACACATGAAGATTTTTAGCTGCGCATCTCTTGCTTCAGAATGTGAATAAATGTTTAACCTGTATTAAAACTCTAGTCTTAAGGTAATACGTCGATAGTATGCGACATATCTTGAGCTTGACGAATCGTCTTAACATTGATAATGCATGCTATTCATACTTCAGCTCAAGTAAGTAGAGTCGTTTCATCAAATGGACGTATTTCTATCAAACGGAACTAAGCGCCATAGGGGGAGGAGGGAAGAGGGGGGCTTGGATTGGCAGGTGTTGCGGAATGCGATGCTCGTTCCATCCTATACTCGCAATGCTTTTCCATGGCGCTTAGTTCCGTTACACAGAAGGCGCTATCCGCGATCCTAGAATCTTCAAAAGAAACTCAATTTACCGCTTAGTTCTGTTTAACAGAAATGCATCCAAATAACACTCTGTTCCTGAGGTTAGGCGTATCAGTGACAAGGTGTTGGGCTTATTCTCTTTCCAAAAAACACCGGTGGAGAGTACCACACAGGCGGCTGGTTAATGAAACAGCCCCTTCATAACATGACAAAAAATGAACGATAAAAATGCTCATTTGATCAAAAAATAAATTTAACAGTTTTAGGAGTAGCAGGTCACTCCAAAGACAAACCGATATGCTAGATAAGCAGCACAATTGGAGGGTAAAAAGGCATATGGGTTATACGACATAGGATAGAAACTTGCCTGCGCCGGATTTCTCTTTCGTAAGTCTTCAAATACCCATCGTATGAGAAGAGTTGATTAATTTTTGGCACTTCCACCTCCATTGGATCCAATTTCGTGTACGTTCCACCCATACTGAGGTTGACAGGTAAACAAGGGAAGTAAAATTAAAATTTTGGGGCAGGCACGATGTGACACAACGGAATAAGTCGACTGTCGTGAGCTCATGAAGTACATGAGCCGTTCTGGGACTGTCTTTCTGGTGATAAGGGTAAATTCCGGACAAACAAATCATTTTACCAGACTTGACCTGGCCAAGATTACTGATAACGTGTGTGCTGATAAAGAACCAAGCCGTGACCTTGAAGCATTATTGTGGTAAACACTGTGCACACGTGATAAAGGACACTGTTACCAAGAAACCTTACTTTTAATTTATTTAAACGCGAAAATACTCATCTCAGGGCGTAAAATTTCGAAAAAATTACGAATTCGAAATTGCCGTTTTTAGGGGCGAAAAGCACACATAACTTCCTTCCTTTCAAAAAATCACGTAATGAATGTAATGCCAATAATACGTATGGCTAGAGTACCTGTATAGCGAGAGTATGGACAGATCGCTTCATGGAGGGCTTAGGGCCCAAAAGTGCAGCCACCCTTCTAACCAACTTCTAACGCACAAAATTTCACTGCCAGTCTGCAGATTCCAATTCTAACAATGATGGCAAAGAATGTACAGAAATGAGCGTTCTTCCGCAAAATTGAGTAAATTTATGCAAAAACTGAGTCAAACACGTGCTTAATAAACGACGGTTCGTAACAATAGTATTAGTAAGTCGTTCTGGATAATTGAAATTCATAGGTTGGCTGCATTTCTGGGCCCTAACTTTATTCGCAGAAGCATCGGTGAAGGCCTGATGGATTTTCGGAGTTTCACATCTGTCCATACTCTCGCTATACAGGTACTCTACATATGGCAACATTTACTTCTGCCGGTTGAAAAGCACGTGGCTGATTGGTAAGAACAGGTCGATCATTGGTCGGTACAAATAAAAGCTGACTTTCTATTGGCTCTTTTTAAAAGTAAACGCACTATCAGCTGTTCCGCCATTGTTGTGTTAGTACTGTTAGTTGTGGAACAGCCGGCTCTGAGGACGGTTGCGTGCTGAAAGACTGTAGCCTTCTCAGAAATCTACAGAATCTCAGCCATCCACTTTACATCTCTAACCTAACTCGAGGTTAGTAGGGTAGGCATTCAAACCTACCTTCGAACAGTTTTGTTTCAGCATCTGGGCCGTAGTAATGGTTTCTTCATGATCCAATCACTGTAGGCCCGAGTAAGCTGGACCAAAACTCAAAGTAAATTCGTCACTGGTAGTCATCGTAGTAGACTCATGTCTGCTTTCATGATGGTGTGATCTTATAGCATTCATCATGAGATGGCTTGTGATACAGATTATTCACTCAAATGTTCTCCTTCCCATGTACTCTTTCTGTGCACATGTGCTTCTTTGTTCTTGTTCTCAGGTCTCACCTTAGAGAACTTAGCTCGGAGCTTCAGCAACTACCTGTGATCCACTTTTGCCTGTAAGCAGTGATAAGTGGTTAATCAGCATTTAATTTGTCTGCACTAGCCAATCCCTAAGGATACAATTTCCTTTAAATGAGAGGATGAGGAAGCTGTTTCATTATTTAAGCTTGACGAAATCAAAGTGCTGATTTGAGGATGATCTCAGTTGCATAAACTTAAAATTACTCTGTTCAGGCTTTACAAGTACAGTCAAAAGAAGTACTTGAGAGAAGACAGTTGATCTGAAATGACGAGTTTTGATGTACAATCAGAGCATGTGCTGCAATGATTAGGGCAAGAGTGAAGGTGGGTGACAGGAGAGGATGAAGGAAAGTTGGACCGAGTTTAACAGAAAGGAACCAAGCCACATCAGCGATTGCCAAGTTTAACTGGGCAATTATATTTTTTACGAGAGAACGGTTGTTCGGATTCCTTTGAACATTTTAAGGAATTTGTTTCGCACCACGGAGAATTTTCACTGAAATTTGCACGAAAATCCACACAACCGTTTTCACGTAAAAAATTAAATTGCCCAATTAAATTTGGCAATAGCTGATGTGGCTTGGTTCCTTTCTGTTTAACGCGGTCCAGTTGGGCTAGACCTTGTGGTGTGTGGCACTGACATGAGAGATAGATAAGTGGTAGTTATGCGACACCTTCTTGGGCGATGGATCCTTTAGAAATGTAACTAATATAAAAATGCTGTACTTAGCTGAACTGACAGGCTGATTCCCAGAGTCGGAAATTTTTTTTTCACAGCCAAGTCTCTCCACTGTTCTGAAAATTTTGACTGAAATCTTAAAACATAGCTACCAAGATAAGCGTTGTTATAGTTACATTGTTGATATATGGATTGCATTTTGCAAAAAGAAACCACTAGCATTGCAATGTTGCTATGATTGTGCAACTTCTTTTGTCTTGGAGGAAAAACCCGATTATCCATTAATAGTTTCTATTTTACTCGCTAAAAACTGTAAAAAAATTGACAAAAATTACCATCTAAATTTCATAGTTTTTAACGATTTCCGCAATTTTATTGCAAAAGATGAAGCTGCACAATCTTAGCATCATTGCAATGCTAGTGGTTCCTTTTTGCAAAATGCAATCCATATTACTAATTGAATGCCAAATCAATAATAGGTAATAGATAAATATTTACTTTTCAAATCATTTTTCGATTCTTACTTGTGTGAATTTTTTTGAGTTAAATGAAGAAGTGATGGAAAAAAGTACAAAACTTTTATTGATTCAATAACAAACAGACAAAAATAATTATTTGCTATGTACATACTCTGCAAAAATGTTGTGCCCTTGCAGTAATAATTCTTACAACGGGGCGTCAAAATTAATTTGCCACCTGTAAATAAACTCAAGTTAACCTCAGGTGCTTGAGAGTATATACATTTAGATCATTCTCTCAAAACCGCACGGGAGATTGTATTGTCACAGATTTAACGGACTCCGGTTGATAGCTCGTGCTTCAAAGGGGGTTTAAAAATGGTCACTAGCACAAAAATGTTGTGCCCTTGTAGTAATTTTTCTTACATCCAGACATCAAACTTGTTTAGCAACTGTGAATAAACTAAAGTTAACCTCTGGTGCTTGAGAGTAAATGCATTTACATCGTTCACACAAAACCGTATGAGGGACAGAAATGTCACAGGTTTAGGAATCCTGCTAGTTGCCGTCAAACATACTGACCGATAATAAAACATTGCGGCGAGTAAAATGAAGACCAAGGACAGGTGAGCTCTTAGTGCTGTAGGTTCTAAGTAAATAATTCTCACTAGATTTTTTAATTTCAGGGTTATGAGTCACATTCATTACTTCCTCGAGGACCTCTTCAGTTAATTTTGTGAAATCCCAAAGTTTGATGGAGCAATCATTTGAACCTGAAACAATGACAGAATATTACACATTTTAGGTAACAACAACAACAAAGGTTTATTAAAACTTGATTGTTCATTATTTGATAGTGGCTACAGACTACAGAAAACATTTCCTGACTTTCCCACGTTTTCCTGGACCAAAGTGATCAAAATTCCATGACTTTTCACAAGAACAATTTGCATGCGTAAAACTGAAAATGAACATTTGTTTTTTTGCATTAATTTTACTGCAAATGACCGAACATGTGAGCTTTTTTTCTTCAGCTATTAATCATTCAATTAACTAAAATTTCAATTTCTCATTGAGAATTAAACTTCAAATCACTATTCAGAGTATAACTTGGAGCATTGAACTCCAAACCCGACTGAGACGTAGATTGACTGTTTGGGCAGCACTCATGTTATACCTTGGTGAGACGATATAGTTTAAGTACAAAGTTCTGATGAAATAGCATTCTTTCATGCTAGTATCATAATATGAGACTGATCTTTAGTTTCGCAAATGAACTTTGTCATTGAGCTCCAAATCTTAATAATGAGACAGAACTAAAATATGCCATCAGTATTTTACTCTGAACCTAAATTTACATTCCAGGATAGTAATTTTCTTGCAGCTTAAAAATTTTTCAGTGAAGGTGCTGAAGGTTTCTTAAGGAGAGATTAAATGTAATTATTGTCTTTCAATCATAATACACAGTTTGGGGGCCTCCTTTCTGCTGCACTATAGTGTGTCAAGAGAGCATCTAGGTCATCGTTGTCGGGACAGTTATAATGATCTCAAATTTACCTGCTCAATTTGAAAGAGAAAAATTAAATGAAAAACCATTATCGAGATTCCCCTTCAAATTTACAAATTTCGTATTCTGCCATTCAATGTTGTAGGAACAGATTTTCCTACAGCGAATACAAGCAAGATGATGAGTCGACTTTCAGGTACGTCATAAGGGATTCCTTCCTGGTTACACGATTTTATTTCATGATGAAAGCAATGATTCACTGGAGGACAGAGCATGTTTATATAGTGACCACAGCAATACTCACATGGAAACAGAATAGTTTGAAACCTTCATGAAAAACGACTGCAAAAGGCTTAGAAAGTTTCCATCACAGGTTGAATAATTTTTGCAGATTTTTCATGTTATTATTTAAAAAAATTCCACCCTTAGTATGCTTAGGAGAACTAGTGGCTTAAAATTCTCCACACTCATGGATATATACCTAGGATGTAAACAGCTAATTAATGGGAACAAAAATGAAACATACCTGATGCTAAAATATTTCCATCTCTACTAAAAGCCAAGCTATGAATGGTTGCGGTATGACCTGTAAATACTGCCAGTAAATGACCGTGAGCTAAATCCCAGAGAAGAACATTAGTGTCTGATCCTGCAGAAGCGAGAAACCGCCCTTCAACTGAGAAATTGAGCGAGTAAATTGGACCCTGAAAAATTAAATATGTATCAAAAGTATTGCTAGGCGTTCATGGATAGAAAGTAATTGGTGTGATGTGAAAGATTTCAACAACTCAATTCTTCACAGAAACAAAGACTTAAAGTCTCATGTGTTAAAAACTTTTCATCAACCCAGCAAAAGTTTTTTTTTTGTAATGGAGTTTTCAGCTCTTATTCAGGCTTCAACAATACTGCCCACAAGACTGATAAACCAAAATTAAAGGAAGTTTTAAAATATCATTACGATGAGTAATACTGACAAAAATGCATATACACACGAAGGAAATATAAATTATAAACCCTGAGGAGACAGTTGATCATTTCAGAACAGAGATGCTTATCTATCTAGTGATTTGTTTTTTAAAGAACAATCAATTTTCCAAGACCCACAAGAAGCCTTTGTACCCCATACAAAAAATAAATATGAAACAAAAAATATAAAACCTTGAGAGTGTGTCACACAGCAGATATTTATTTTTCAAGACAAAACAAGATGCGTTGGCCATGTTTCTTTAACCAGTGCTCCCAGATTCCCATTCAACCTGAGGTATTATTAACACACATAAATGGGTGCAAAACTCTTACAAATAAAATTACTTTATTCTTAGGATGCAAATGCCATCCAGAAAAACAGGACGTCTGTGATACTTGAAAATTCTCACCTTGTGACCTGTCATGAGTCTTACTTGACTCCCAGTAAAATTGTCCCACAGTCTTACAGTACGATCACTTGAGCCTGATGCAATGTAATTAGAATTAGGATGAAACTGGATGCACTGCAATTTAAATTGAAAAAAGTTGGAATTAAAGAAAATGAACAATTTCAGCCATTAAAAAACATACATCTAGGGTTTAAAACCCATGAAAAGCAACCAGAGGAAGCCTCCGAAATTTAATTTGTGTTTGATACTCTATTTTCAATGGGATAAATAACTGAGATTAGTCTTGCAAACTTCACTTTCAAACTCTGCAGTAATGTTGAGTGGTTATTCAGGATACACTTTTTCCCTGTTTTAGCCACTCTAGGTGGACGCTCTGCTTCCATCTAGGTCTGACATTAGCCAAGTATACATTTATTTTTCTATACAATTTAAAATCTTTTCACCTGTGGGTCTAAATTTTCTTATATGTATTGGAATAATGACTGAGTTGCTTAAGTGGCACATACTAATTAATATATATCTGGCTGACATACAATCCCTGACCTGAATTGGTAGTGCGTGCTATTTAAGATTCTAAAAAGTGCGTGCTATGACTACCCTTAGGTTAAAGTAGGACTTACATCGACATCCGAAAAATGACCTGCAAACACTCTTAATGGCTGATGTTGATCAGTGGCCCAAAGTCTGGCTGTCCTGTCGTGACTAGCTGTTGCAAAGTAATAGCCATGGGCAGAGAATTTAACGTCCCACACAGGGAAAGTGTGTCCTTTGTAGATCACTAAACATGTCCAAGTCATCAGGCTCCATAATCGAACTATAATAAAAATCATACCTCTAGTCAGCATTGAAAAAGTAGGTCTCTGTATTAGCCTTTGACTTCATTTTCTTGTACAACAAAGGAAAATTTACTTAACAGAATTTACTTAACAAGTAATTTAAGGTATGTTTTCAGAATAAACCATGCTAAGAGGGACAATACCTCATTTTAGAGATTCAAATCCTGTGAGTATACAATGTCCACTCTAGTCTGCACAAGTTTTTGACATCACCCAAGGTTAGTTGTCTCGTAGAGTGTCACAATAGTCATCTTGATTCTGCCACTTAGTTTTGAGGGACAAATAAATATGAAGAATCAGCTGCCACTTTCGAGAAGATAGACACTTAACTTGACAAGCTCTCCTCAGTTACACAGAGATTTTCAGAGACTTTTTCCAATAACCTCAAGTTATATTTTCTTTGCATCATTTTCTATTAAGGGGAATTCTGCCGTGGTAAGGAAAAACGCCGAATGAAGGTTCGAGTGTGCCACATTTCCTCCTAGAAAAAGTTATTTTTGAGGAAAGTTATGAATATTTTTCCTTGTAATTTTCAGGAACTTCAGGTGAAATTGCAAACAAAATCATATGAAAAATTGGAGGAATATTTACAAATTTTCCTGAAAATTTGTGATTCACCGAAGAAAAATTGGCAATGCCTGAAGGTTCATACAGCGTTTTCTCTTAATACAACAGAATTCCCGCGGTAAAATTGTGGGCACATATCTCTTTGTAACCATGACAACGTCATGAAGTCATTCTATAGCGATTCTTAAAAAATACACTGCGTCATCAGATCATATGATTTTTAAAAGGGAATTGAAAAAAGGGCCTTAAAACTTACTGGTTGTATCCTCAGAACACGATAATAACAGCGTCCTATCAGGACTAAAAGATAACCGATAGACTGGTCCACTGTGACCAAATAATTGGCGCGAAGCTTCTGCATTTCTATCATCAAAAATTCTATGCATTATGTCCTCTGAAAAAAGAAGCAATGATACGTATTATAATTTACAATACTGACTTTAGTAACTATCAATAACTTGGCTGAACTTTAAAAGTGTTGAGGTGAGGGTGATATGAAAACTTAATACATTTTCAGTTTCAGACAAAGTCATTCCTGACTATTCAAGAGGAAAATGATAAATGGTTTATGATTATACAGATACATATATGAAATATCTATATACCTATATAGCCCAAACACCAAATTTGCTTGACTCTTAAAGGTCTTAAGGCATTTGAAATATTTTAATCTCTTCACCGAAGTCCTGCTGCCATGTTTTCATGGGCCACACATGTCATCTTCTTCCAGGAGTACCAACTCAAAACTTGATCAGACAACCTGTCCTCTCACTCTCTTTCCATGAGTCCATATCAAACTAACTGCTCAAACATGACATGGGGCGCGATTTTACTTTTAACCATCATCAAATTTTTTCATTGAGGGACACTGTGGTTTCTTCTTGAGATGCTGGCAAACCGCTGTCAAAAATTTATTTAAGCTACCCTCAACATATTTTGAGTTCAATTTATCAGAGGCAACGCATTACTATCATAGATCACAATACTTTACTCAATGGCATCATATATTGAGCACCTGTTTATCTATGATATGCTCTGATCCTAAAGGACCGAATTGAGCATCGTGACTGTCTTTGATTGCCTAGCTTTCCATCCAGAGCAGCCAAACACGAAGGTACGTATAATCTTCACATCCTTCCATGCCAAGACCAGGCTCTGTGCTCTGTCATTACAGAGGAGGTCCTGTGACCAGCTTCTCTGTTTTGGGTAGACTTATGAAAAAAACCTCAAATCCCATATTCTTAATCCAACCTAATGCATGGTTTCCTATCTTTAATATCACTACCATAAATTTATTGGAAATGCTCTGCACATTTTTAGTTCCAAAGAAAAAGGTTCATTTCTGTAAATTTTGTTAACTTGTCCATTGAATCTCATAGGTAATTAGATTGGTGTTATCAGGTTTTTTCACATTGAATTTTTTGTGAGGATTTAGGGGTCAGCTTAGGGACTCAACTCCCAAACTGGAAGGCCAGTGATTGATTTTGGAGTACCCTCTCAGAGACAAGTTGCTCTCATTGCAGCTAAGAGCCTTATCTGCCTCACCTGTTTAACCCACAGGTGACAAGATATCTACCAATCACATCAGGAGGACATTCTCTACCTGCCACTTTAAAGAGACGCTCTCTAGAGATAGCAGGCTCCTCTGAGAGTGGTTCAGGTTTATTCTGTGGTAAAATGACTGCGAAGGCAAGTAAATTTATGCACTTTTTCAGAGAACACTTGGAGTGGCAGAGAGATGGATAATGAGAATAAAGAATAAGAATTATTGACTACACATTAATATTTTACAAATACCTTCTCCTGTTAGAAGTTATTTTTTCACAGACACGATGAAAAAGTTTGGTGACAGAAAGTTACAAAAGTTTATAAAAAAATATGTAAGTACCTGCTTCCATATCAACATCTGCTAGCTGTTCAGCTGTTTTCATGACCCTGAGTTTTTGCGGGACGAGGCTCCATAATTTAATCATTGAATCAATAAAACCCACTCCAAGGATACTTGAGTCCTCACAAATCTCAACACAACTGACTCTGTGAGAAAACAAAGATGAATGGTATCATTTTTGAAACGAAAGTACAATTAGCAGAAATTTAAATTTGAAATTTGTAGAGTGTATTCAAACCTCAGTAGTTGCTTGATTGTAAGATGCAGTCTGCCGCCTCATTACACAACTTTACATCAGTTTTGTCCAGATATGAAATACACTATTCATGCTAAGTATCAACAATTTGAGAAACTTGAACTGGAAAAGGTGATAAAATTGTTCTTGAAAATCAACTATTCTTCTAACTGAAACCAACTAGCAAAATTGCTAAATGCAATCTTTTTGATGCATCTCTATATTAAACATAAAAAAAACTTACGTTTGAGAGGTATTCAGAAGTGTATAACAGCAAATGGATGGTAGAGTTTCCGGACCGAGAGTAACACGTTTTGTTGCCTCTCTTAGGGCCTTAGCTTTTTCAAGCTTTTCAGCATCTTTCCTGAGAATACAATTTAATTCAAACAAGTGAAACGAAAGAAATGTAATGAGCAAAAACATCTGATTAAGGCATTTCTAACAATATCATGTTTCCAAAATGAAATGAACATCAAATTCGTTTGGCTTTGGTATTGATAATAAGAAGTGTCGACCTATATAAAATGACAGAATTAATTTCAAGTTTTAGTAAATTTCTGATGCATGAATCTACATCTATGGTTCCATCCTTCTATTCAAATTTGTAAGTTTGGCCAAGTATGAATTTCAATGCACCACACCAAAAAATCTAATGCTATCAATAGGGCTACACTTTTAAAAGAGCGTACTGGAACACAGGCCCGTTTCTTCATCATAAGACAGTTTCATCGTTTGATGTTTCAGGGTGTCGACTAACACAGGCTGGCCAAAAATCAGTACTTTTACAGTACTTTTTCAGTACATTCTTAAGAATTCAGTACCTCCTTGACGAAACATTCAATACTTTTTCGGTACCTCCACTCGACGAAATTCGAAATATTTCAAAAATTTTAATTTCTTCCTCAAATTGCGACAAAAATGAAAAAAAATTCGGACTTTCTCGCTGATTTTCCGCACTTTTTCAGTACTTCCGGACCACCCTTAAAAAATCGGTGCTATTTCCTGACTTAGCGGAAATTCCAGACCTGTAGACACCCTGTGTTTGTACATATCCTTACTTACATTACAGAAACCATGAAAAAGAACCACTTTAATGCATGACTTTGGAGGAATTGCATACTACTTGTGAATTATTCTTGGTTCAATATAGATAGAGGTAAGGCAGACTAAAACTGTTCTACCTTTCTAACCCGATTTTCCTGAATAAACCCAAAAAATTTCCCTTACAATTCTGGTAAAGGCATTCGGTCTATCGGAGGAGCATTAGGATCTGATTTGGTCTTTCTGCTGAATAATGTGTCTTTTTTAGCCTTCTTCTTCTTTGGTTTATCTCCTTCTCCACCATCCCCATCTTCCTCTTCTTCTACCAGAACTGACAGTTGAATGTCTGGTTCTTTTGGCATCCCATAATAGACTTTAGATTTGTTGTCTGAAGGAAAAAAAAATGATGAAGTCACAGAGTTGACAAAGAGCACATACAAGATTTATTACATGCTTTTGGTTGAGACATGTATAAGAGACGAATAAAAATCAGGATGCTTCTAGCTTTTTGCACACTTCCCTGAGAAAACACAGAACTAAGTACATTCTGATTAAAATCATAGAGATTACTAATCACACCATTTATTTTTATTGAGGTAGTATCGGGTTTTCTTCGGGCATTTTAATCAACATCAATCTTAATTTTCCCACTGATAAAAAATTTGAATAAAAGATTTTTATGTAAACAAATTAACCCTAGTCTCTCACTAAAAAGCTGTGATGGAAGATTTGTGATATGGTAAACAAGTTCTGCATGAAATTTGATGAGACAGCATGTTTCATATTTCTCGGATTCTAAGTCTGTCTACTGGTCCTTCAAATGCCTGTTGAATGCTCCTTCATGTATGGTCTCAGGGCATACTGAGATTTGTTTAATCTATTTGCACTAATTTTCTCTCTGCAGTTTTGTTAGCTTTCCTTGCTCTCTTATATAAAGATTTAATCCGTTAATGTGCCTATGTTTATTGAGCTTTTCATTGACTGTGCTAGAACTTTCTCATCTTTTCTAAAAGAGATGTAAAAAAATCACTGCAAAAATATCAACCAAGAGAGCTTTTAACATGCATAATTTAAATAAGCATGATAAAAGATTATTAGCTTTGATAAAAAATAAGTTCCACAGCCTCTTTCCTAGTGAGAAAGCATTTAGAGTTACATTTTCATTTTTGCATAGAAACTAAATACTAGAATGAAGATGGCAGATCTTTTGTTGCACTCTGCAAGTGCTCAGATTCATTTGGCATGGACTCTAATACATGCTTCTTTTTAACATACTGTTGATTTTATTGGTAATGGTAGTATGATTTCTGAAAGCTTTCATCATTTTAACACAATAAACTAAAAAAATATCTCTCAAACTGAGAGAGCAATCGACATTACACATAAAGTTTGCAAAAATTTGTGTGCATTTTCTGGAGAGAAAAGGTAAATTACTTAATCGTAGGCCACCTTCCAGAAATTTTCAAGTACAAGGAACACTGTGGTTAAACGTACACAGAGGATTTAATGATAAATTAAAGTTTTGAATCAAATATTACCCTGTCTAGTAGCTTCACCAATCATTGCACCAGCGGTTGCATCAATTTGTTGTTTATTGCGAGCAACACCTTCGTACATATCAAAGTACAGATGTTCTTGCACCACATTTGACAGCACATTGTGTTTTTTTTCTTGTAAATGTCGCTTTAAAATTGATAGAGCATCTCTGGACATTCGTATGATAAATTCATTTGACCTAATTTAAAAAAAAGAAAACAGGAATTTTACTAATTTCTTGCAATTATCTTCATGAGCTCCC